ATCTCTCTCTCTATCTATCTATCTATCTATCCATCTATCTATCTATCTATCTATCTATCTTTCTATCTATCTATCTCTCTATCTATCTATCTATCTATCTATCTATCCATCCATCGATCTATCTATCTATCTATCTATCTATCTATCTATCTATCTATCTATCTATCTATCTTTAACCTAGCCTGATTGCGATCTGAGATGTCTTATACAACTTTCCATTTTTGTCCTTTTACTATCTTTGGTAAGTTGTTATGGTGGTTCTTACACTCTCAGTGTTGGATACAATCCATTCGTTTTGTGTGTATACATATATATCATCTAGTGGTAACGACCAACTGATCATTTTTTTTCTTTCACCTTTGATCTGCATTTTTTCAAAGAAACTGTGTACATTTTAGACTCTAAGCAGACCAAGTTGTGATCTGAGATGCTGGAAAACATTCCATTTTTGTCATCAAAATATCTTAAGTAAGTTGTTACTGTTGGTTCTTACACTCTCAATGCTGGATAAATCTATGTTTGGGAATATATAGTTGTAAGGACCAACAGACAGATTTGTTTTAAACCTTGGTCTACAATTTTACAAGGAACTTGCTGGTAACAGCTTTTCATTTTTGTTACCCAAATTTCTTTTGTATATTGTCATGTTGGTTGTTACACCCTCGGTGTTGGATATAATCCTTTTTTTTCTTGGGGGAGGGGGTATGTTTACCAATAGAAGGCTCCGAAAAGGACCTTCAAATGCTTCTAGATACGGTTGTAAAAGAAAGTGAACGTAAAGGATTATTGTTGAATGTAAAGAAAACAGAATGCATGGTAATATCCAAAAAAGCAGCAAATCCTAGTTGTAATCTCATTAGCAAAGGTGAAAAGATCAAACAAGTCCAACAGTTTAATATCTAGGATATATGATAACATCTGATGCCAAATCTTCCACAAAAATAAAAAAGGAGAACTGCAATGGATAAGGCTAGTTTCAATAAAATGAGCCCAATCCTGAAAAATAGAAACATATCAATGAACACCAAAATGAAAGTCCTGAAATGCTATGTTTGGTCATCCCTTCTATATGGCTGTGAATGCTGGACAATCACTAAAGACAGTGAAAATAAAAATAGAGGCAACAGAAATGTGGTTTCTTAGGAGACTGCTAAGAGTATCGTGGAAGGAGAAGAAATCAAATGAGGTAGTGCTTGATGAAGCCCACGTGGGACGCTCAATGTTAAAAACAATCAGGAAACGACAAATGCAGTTTTTGGGACACCTGAATAGACATAAGGGTCTTGAACATCTAGCTCTCACTGGCAAAATTGAGGGCAAGCGAGGCACGGGTAGGCCCAGAACAACATACTTAGGGAACCTAAACAAATGGGTAACAGGGAAAGATCAGGGAAACGTAGCTTTTCTGAGAGCATCCGAGCAAAGGAATGAATGGAAAATCATGATCGCCGATGTCTGTCGCAGATCTAGCACTGGATGATATTTACCAACAGATCAGTTTTACAATCTGGATAAGCTTGTTTAAAGTAAAAGAGACACCGAAAACAAGTATGTAAGTTGTTAAGTTGGTTGTGGTACTTTGGGGTTTAATATCAATTTGATTTTGAGTATATCTAGTTGTCTCTCTCTTGCCCTTTTTAACTCCCAGTGGAGCACAAGCCATCAACAGCATCACTCCAGCAAAGCCTGTCCTGAGCATCCTTTTCTATCTGTTTCCATGATGTCCCCGCTTTTTCAATTTCCGCTTGTACCGCTCGCCTCCATGTCATCTTTGGTCTTCCCTTCTTACATTTTTCCTTGTGGGTTCCACGTTAAAGCCTGCCTGATGATGCTTGTCGGGGGTCTCCTCAGGGTGTGTCCAATCCATTTCCATTTCTTCACCTGTATGTCTTCCTTTACTGGCCTTTGGCTTGTTCTTTTCCACAGTTGATCATTAGTGACTCGATCGTACCACTTGATCCCCACTATCCTTCGTATGCTTCCATTTACGAAGCTGTGCAGTTTCCTTGCTGCTGATGCTGTGAGCCTCCGTGTCTCTGAACCATACAGTAGAACAGTCTTCGCGTTTGTTTTGAAGATCCTCAGCTTGGTGTTCAATCTCAGTTCCTTAGACATCCATATATTCCTGAGAATGATGAATGTTGCTTTTGCCTTTTGGATACTGACCTTGATGACTTCGTCTGTTCCCCCTGCCTTGTTGATGACACTTCCCAGGTAGGTGAAGGATTCAACATCCGCCAATGGTGCCCCTTGCAGCTTGCAGTGTGATATCTAGTTGTATCGACCAACAAATTATTTTTTTTTACAACCTTGGTCTGCAATTCTTCAAGTATCTTTCTACAGTTCAGACTCTAACCAGGTCTAGTTGTTATCTGAGATGATGGAAACACCTGTCAAAATCCACATTTCTTAAGTAAGTTGTTTTGTTGGTTGCTACACTCTCAATGCTGGATACAATCTATTTATTTTTCTGTACACCTAGTCGTAACAACCAACAGATAATTTTTTTCAATCTTGGTCTGCAATTTTTTTAAGCAAGCACATATTTGACAATCCTGGTTGTGTTTAGATATTATAAAACAGCTTTACATTTTTTCAAATTCAAATTGTTGAATATAATCCATTTATTTGTGCGTATATACAGTCGTAACGACCAATAGATCATCTTCCACAACAATGTTCTACAATTTAACAAGAAACTTCGTACATATCGGATTATGAGCCTATGTGTCATCTGATAACCGGAAACCGCTTTCGCAATTTTGTCATCGAAATTTCTTTCGTAAGTCGGCATACTGGTTGTCACACCCTCGCTGTTGGATATAATCCATCTGTTTTGTGTATATATCTAGTTGTAGCGACCAACATATCATTTTGTACGACGTTGGTCTGCAATTTTACAAGCAATTTTGTACACATTAGATTCTTACCAATCCATATATCAACAAACAGACACGCAAACAGATTTAATCTAGCACAAACCTAAGACAAAAACGCATCCGTCAGCATTTTGTTTTTCTCTGTAACTGCACATATTCCACGACACAAAATGATGCAATACTTAATTATTTTCTCAACTCAACCTTAGACAAAGAGCACTCGTCAGCGGAATGTTGGCAGAGCACATGTTGTTCTCTTTAACTGCGCAAATTCTCAAACTGCGTTCTGCAACACAAAATGATTCAACCTTCATTTTCTAGATTTCTCACGACCTTGCTGATATGAAAACTTGCAGACTTTACAATACTTTTGATCTCATCCCGTCAAACCGGACAAGTGCTGCTTCTATTTTTTCTCCCCAGAAAAACAGTATTTCAGAATTTTGCAAAACAGAATAACACACGTATCCTGCTTCCCGCCAGAAATCCGCTTGAAGAGGTGCATTTCATCATAAGTTTCCCTTAACCCATTTTTTTCTACACGATATCTTTAAGCATCACATCGCCCCCCCCCCCCCCCCTTTTTCCCCCAAACTCACTGAAAAAACAACAACATCCACATCCACAAGCCACAAGCAAGAATGCTAACATGAAAAGTGCTGTTTCAATTGTTTGTTTTGTTTGGGGTTTGTTTGTTATTTTGTTGGGGGGTTGGGGTGGTAGTAAAAACGTTTCATCATTTCATACTGTTGATACCAGCTCTTCCTGTATAAATGGACGCCAACTGAGCAGCTCTACTACACAGAAGCAGTGACTGTATGGAAAGTAAGTGGATTCTCTTTACATCTTTAAGAACGTAGTGGACACTTATGTCCCATCAGCAACAGACCGAAGGCAACGTTGCACTACACTTTAAACCACCAAACACAAACTTTTTTTTAAATCATAAACATAATGCTTATTGTATATTATTTAAAGGGTATTGTTGTTTGTCTTTATACAATTCAGAACAGAACAGGAAGATATATTTTTGTTGATAACGAGGCCACGCTTCTTCTTTTACTATCGCCCTCAAATAGACTAGCGAGTCTTCCAGCTTTGTCCAAAAAACAGCGCGCCCTCCAACTTTTCCAAGATAAACAACGCACGTTCTAAATGGGTTAAATAATCAGATTTATCTTTGTGGATAAAATAACAATCTCTAGAAGTATTTTTGGGAACTTTCGGTGACTTACGTGAACAGACGATGTTCCCTCTACCATAGGTGTTAGATGCGCAGACTTCTACATCTTGAAAAAAACTTTTTTTTTAAAGTTTCAACAATTAGTGCACCTTTTAATTTGTGCAATCCAAATACAACTACAGGAGAAAAGTGGTGTAAGTCCCAATGTTAAAATTTTGTATTTTCTGTTTAAATCAATTGTCTGGCTTGTTCCATTTTGTCTATCCGTATCATTTCTGGGGGGGTTTTCCGTGCAGCTGAAAACTGTTTCAAACAGCTGTAACCACGTACTACTAGTGGCACTATTCAAACAGCTGAACAATGAAAATGAAAGGGTAGCAGTAGTAGTCCATATGGACACTTGTAAGAAAGTCATCGTCTTCAATATTTTGATTTGACTTATGCCCTTTGCCATTAAGATATTCAAATCATCATCAGCAAGCTGTTCAACTGTTTTAAGTCCAGAAAGCATTTTTTTAAGGAGAGACAAAACCCTCCCCCTGAAAACAACAGAACAAAATGTAACAAAAACAAAGCAAAACCAAAAAACCTAAACCAAAACCAAAACCAACCAAAACAACCAAGGAAAAAAATACAGTTTCAGTGTTTAAATAAATCAATTGTATCCTCATTATGTTTATAGGCCTACTCCTTTTGCTTGTTTAGCATTTAGAATTTCATATTCGACGGAATATTTCTCGAGCTCATACATCGGTACCACAGATTAAGAGACACCGATTTAAACTTCTTTTTTTTTAACTGGCTTGTCAAATCTGACCAGCTGGCTGGTTGATGAAATATTTTCTTGTTTGAATGTTTTGTCTCAATATTTCCTCTAGACTTCCGAGTAAAAGTACGCGACGATCTATGTGAACAGAATAATTAGCATCACAAGAAACATGGACAACACCTGGACATTTACCAAGCTTATTCTGGTAGCGGCCCTGGCCATGTCTACAAAAGCATGGCGTCTCAATGTCACGTCAGAAGAAATCGACATCGGTAAAACAGCACAAGTTTCTCTGAACTGTTTCAACCCCTACCAGCAGCAGGACATTTCGGAAATTCTCATGATGAGAATCCAGAAAAAACAGGTGAGCAGATGGTCCAGTGTTGCGGAACTTCGTGACAGCGATAAGGATGTCAGACTAACAGCTAAATATGTAACCGCTACGGGCAGCATTGTCTCCGGGGCTAACAGCTATATGCGGCGTACCTGGCCATTGGCAACTAACGATACGATCGGTGTGTACCGTTGTGATGTCACTTTTGTTAATTCTCACGGCAGTGTAGGGTGGCAGAAAGGTCTACCGGCTTCCATCACACGTAAGAGTGACGTCACTGTTCAGATCCTGAGCGAAATGGTGGAGGACAACAAAAGACAATGCATGCAACAAAAGCAAGACATCCAGGAGCACGTAGCAGCAGCCATAGAGGAGAACAAGAAATACTATCTGAAGGAGAAACAAGACATTCTCCAGAATATAACGACCATCCTGAAGACGCTTGAAGTGAGTTTCGTTAGCCAGTTGGCTAATATTTGTTCCCTAGTCATGACCAGTACACAATTAATAATGTAAAGTGCTTAGAGCTGTGTACACACGGATGTACGAGGGCACTATAAAATTATCTACATTATTATTATTATCATTATTATTATTGTTGTTGTTATTATTATTATTGTTATTGTGACTATTATTATGGCTATTATTATTATTGTTATTATTATTAATAGTAATATTATTATTATTATTATTATTATTATTTTTATCACTATTATTTTTATTATTGTTATTATGTCACAAATGCTTGAATGATAATTCGCTATCGTATTTATCAAATCTGTTGAAACAGTACTTTCTGACTCGCAGCTTAAGGTCACCAGCTGACAAAAAAACATTTCTTTTACCATCTATGAATTTTTTTTAAAACGGGGGGTAAACGGGCGTGTGTATACCACGGCTCAGGATCTGGAATGCTTTGCCCAGTAGATTAAGCGGGAGGGGGGGGAGGCTGGATTTAAATTGGCGATTTTGGGCCAATTTATGGTATCTGGACTTTGTATTTATAATACTTCAACCACTTGTAAATCTTTTTTTTTTTAATGCTTACTCTTTTTGTTACAATCATCATCTTTCAGATTTTCTGTCCTGGAACTTTTATTTTGCTAATTATGTAACAAAATGTCGTTTTTTCCTCAAAACTTTGATAGTTTTTCGGTCTACTTTTGTATTTTCTATTATTGAATCCAATGAAATTTTCAGGGCTTGTTATTCACTTCATAACCTAACTTTAAACAGGTGGAAAAGCTAATCGATGTTTTCATAAGTGAGTTACTTGGATGATTATGTAATCGAATTCAGAGTCAGAGGCATGAAGGGGTAAGTCAGTTATCCATCTCTAACTTTTTTCCTATTCAAGATATCCAAGATCCCAAAAGTACAGAATTTTGTATTGAGTATATCTATCATTTATCAAATTTGAACTAATTTGGTTGGTAAATAAAAAATCCTTTTTACCTTTATGAAAGTTGTTTATTTTCAATATGACCGCCGTTGCCATGGTAACCGTAGACTGAAGCAAAAAAAATTAAAGTTACACTTTAGAGGTGTTTTCCTCTTATACCTCCATGCTACGAGGGGCATACCAAAAGTTTTCCTACCTGACCATGAGGGAATAAAAGTAGAAGCATTAGTGTTTTGGGGTCAGAACAAAATGTATTGTTTTTATGCTTTAACTTTAATCGAGGTTGAGCACTATATAAAGGCCACATATACATGTATTGTCATTTTTCTTATTTTTAAAAATTATTATTATTATTATTATTATAATAATAATAATAATAATAATAATATTATTATTATTCCTATTACGTCACCGTACAGGTGCTGAGCCACACGGTGGAAGTAAACAAGCGAGAATGCCCTCACCAAATGCTCTCCCAAAAACGCCAAATTCTATCGAACGTGGCGGCGGCCTTGGACGACAACAAGAGAGAGGTTTTACAACACAGCCAAGACCTCCTGGTAAACACCACGGCCATCACGGAGGCCCTCGAAGCCAGTTTTGAACGCAAGTTGAGCGATGTCAAGAGCGAGCTTCGGGTGAGAATAAGAATTACTTCGCTCTTCGATCTCCAATAGCGACAACGAAATTTTCACACAGCAGTACCTGTGGATATATATGTAATATGTATATATATACAGTGTATAATAATATAATTTTGTTCCCTAGTCCTGACCTATAGGCTTACACAATTTTGTAAAGCGCTTAGAGATGTGTCCACACGGGTGTAGGCACTATAAACTGTTCTATGTTAGTAGTAGTAGTAGGTAGTAGTAGTAGTAGTAGTAGTAGTAGTAGTAGTAGTAGTAGTAGTAGTAGT